AGGATAAAGAATGCAATAGAACATGTGTATCCGGGAGCCTGTCACGGTATTTGTTCTTATCATTTGCTGCAAAATCTAAAATCATATTATGGAAAGTCAGGCCAAAACATTACATAAGCATTCAATTCGGCTGTCCGCGTTTACACGCTGGAAGAATATGATTATAATACGTCCCTGCTGACTACGATGACTGAGAAGATGATTTCTTAGCTGGTAGTGTAATTAGTCTTATTTCATTTTACATACATATAAATGGTCACATATGGTATTTACATAATGTTCATCGAATTTATTTAAGTTTGCAGGCTGATGTTGGACCTGAAAAGTGGTCACAAATACATATGCCAACAAATAGGGATTCTACAATGACATCAAACATTGTGGAATCAGTCAACGCGATCACCAAGGCAGCCAAAAATCACCCTATTGTATCCTTGCTAGAGTCATTACGGCAAACCATACAATCATGGTTTTGTAGACACAGGGATGATGCACATGGAACTTTCACAAAGTTGTCGAGCAAGTACAAGAAAGAGATTAGGAAAATTAGCATGGATTTGAGGATCTTGAGGGTAATTTTTTATATTTTAACATTGAGATGTATATGTGACCCAATGTAAGTGTCAGTATCTTAAACTGTATTGTATCAAATCTGATGTGACCTGTTTTGTGATACCTGATTGGTAAACTAAGTTTGAAGCTCTATATTCTGTTTCATAGCTATCCGTGAATGGAATAAATTTGTGTAACTTGATATCTAAATATGTGACCTAAGTGATGTGGTATGTGATGTAACTGTGTATTCTCTGTCAACTCTGTGTTCTGATGCATGTCTATCTGCCAAATGAGGTCTGGACCGCATATGTAACATGCTTCCTGAATCTGTGAATGAACTTAGGGATATGAGTCATTCGTGCGTGATCGACACGTTGGAGTATATGTGACCTATATTCAACTACATGTGACTTGACTGTTGTTATATGCACGCAGGTATCCCCTTCAAACCAGACAGTATTTTTTGTCAGCAACAAAAGGTCGACGTTTGTCGTCGATATTGAGCAACGAACATGCACTTGCAGGATTCTACAAGTTGATTTGTTACCGTGTTCACACGCTTTGACTGTAATTGCAAACACAAGAAGTGATTCATATGATTACTGTTCCTATTATTACACAAGAGATGCGTACTTGAATGCATACCAAGATTCTGTATATCCCGTTAGAAATCAAGAGGAATGGACAGTGCCAGAAGAAGTATAGCGAGAAATAGTGTTACCTCCTAACCAGAAGAGGAGTTATGGAAGACCTACGGAGAAAAGAAAGAGATCATTTAGAGAAGGGAGATCGACGGTAAAATGCGAATGTTGTTGAGGACAAGGTCACAACCGTAGGAGATGCTCCAGCTTGGCTCCATTACGCTAAAATGACCGATAGAATTACATACAAATATTTCATAGATAAGTGATATTCTTTTAAGGATAATGTTCATTTTAAATAGTCTCTTTAAAAAAAATGCATTCAAATTGATAAACTAACAGTTAATTGTCTATCAACTTTGGA